TACGCATCCTTAACAGTTAACTGCAGTGCCTCAGCCCCCACGCTTATCTGCACCATACATGTTTTGCATGGTCTACCATGTTTTTTTTCCTGTTCTACTACTACTTACTACTATTGTTCTGTTATGATTTATTATGTCGTAATGTACTGTCTACATTATGTGGTGTTGTCTGTTGTACTATGTCCCAAGAGATCAGTGCAAATAAGTATTTAATTGTACATGTACATATGGTAAGTAACTCCTCTACTGTACTCTCTTAAGGAGCTCAAGGGTTCATTTTCAGCAGTATGGCTGGTTATTTTTGTTCTTAGTACTGGGTTGGGAGACCTCTGAAGAGAACTAGGTTGCTGTTGTAAGTGGTGTTGAAGGCCCAGTAGATGGCGCTCTTGCCTCTTGACCAGACTTTCAAACGAATGCCAGCAGCAGCACAGGGCACAATGTGCTTTGGGAGAGGCCTTTCTTCAGATGAGATGTTAAACTGGGGTTTTGATTGTTTTTGATATCAGAGATCCCATGGCACTGATTGTAAGATTGGTGGTGTCCTGCATTGATTCTGCTCTTGATTCAGACAATCTGGCCAATTTACAAATCCCTCTCAATTTAACTGGTGAAGCAATTTCCTGAGGTTGCTAATGCATAATGGCAGCTACACATCATACAGATTGATGTTGCTCTTCAGTGGTGGATGAAATGTGTCTCCTATATAAGTTTAAGGATCCTGAAAAACACTACCTAAAAGGCAAGGAATGATCAATTATTAGTAATGAGACAGACGAGAACAGGTATTATGTGTGCAGTCGGAGAATCTGTTGTCTCTCAGTTGGCCATGTTGTTGAACTGAGCAAGAAGACTGATGCATGTACTCCTGGTGGTGCAGGCGGTGATCAACACCATGTGTGGCCAGGGGATGCAGGACCTGAACTACCAGCAAGCGGAGGCCTTCATCCACACCAATGGCTGCATTGACAAGCTGGTGAACTGGATCCACAGCAACCTGTTCCTGCTGGGAGGCATAGCGCTGGGACTCGCCATTCCACAGGTGTGCTCCCTCGCGCGGTGATGCCCTGTGCTATCTAGGCACCCACTGGCGTCAAGGCCCCAACATCCAGCAGCGTGCACCTCACTCCTGCTCGTTCTTCAGGGTGTTGGATCTCTCTTCCGACACCACAACACACCTTGTTAGGCTCAGTGCCTCGGACATACAATACAATCCGTGCAAGAATGGCGTTCTAAAGCAAAACTTTAGTTTAGTCGACTGGTCCACGATGATGGCAAAACAATATATTTTTCTTCAATAAATACAGGTTTTTAGGCCTGCCTTCTGTATTTTCTTAGCTACTATTTTAAAATGCCTTTAAGCTTCTGTTTGAGAATTGAGTATCAGTGTATTGCCAGCAGCTATATTACCTTGCAATTCACAACTGAGAGCCTGGTCAGTACCTGGATGTGAGACCTCCTGGGAAACTTAAGGTTCCTGCTGAAAGAGGTGTTAGTGGGAACAGTAACACCTCTTGACCACAGCTCTTGCCTGTGGTCTGTGTGGGCCCTAATGCCCCAGTATAATGATGGTCATTAAAAATCCCAGGGGATTTGTCGAAAAGAGTAGGGGTTTATCCCAGTGTCCTGGCCAAATTTCCCCCTGGAAACTATCACAACCCCCTAATAACGAATGGACTGGCACATTTTGACTGCAGCCATATCATCCAGGTGGGCCTGCACATTGGTGGTGGTGGAGGGGAGTCCCTATTACCTGTAAAGCGCTTTGAGTGGAGTGTCTGGAAAAGTGCTATATAAGTGTAAGGAATTATTATTATCAGGTCTGTGTTTAAAAATGCTTAAATGAGGCTTTGTATAAAATGCATACATGTTGAATCATATTTTGTTAAATTACAAATTGCCCTTTTGAGGTGAAATTGTATTATTTGTCAAAGAAGTCATGAACATGATCTCGCACACAGTATTGGCACAGTGCTTTTTCCTTTGGAGTGCTGGCTGTGTTCCGGGGAAGAAATACCGGCTGCTAATGGCAGCATCACTCATAATATTTTCTCTGTCCCCCACAGCTGGTTGGGATCCTCCTCTCCCAGATCCTGACCAATCAGATCAAGGACCAGATAGAGCTGCAGAAATACAACATGCAGCACCGCTCTGACCCCTGGCATTGACATCTCTGATGCAACACGGACTACTGTACCTCTTCTCACAGACTGTTGTAGCCCTTTTTCTCAGTTTTTACTCTTTTAACTGTTAAGAGGACCGGCTGAGCTACAGGCATGCAGTGCTGTGGACATTATCAGGGCAGATCCTTGATTTCAGGTTATCCTCCTTCTGTGTTGTCATAGCTTTCATGCAAGACATCCCTGTTTTAAGCAAAGGTCCTGTGTCAGGTGGATGAGAGTAGTGAACAGTAGCAGGCTGCTCTGTCTGGTCGTGAGTCCCAGAGATATACAGAATTTCCAAAAGCACATATACTGTAAGTCTGAAAGAGGAAAACAAGTTGTACTGTTGAATGCTGAGGCCCTTGGCTCTGGTGGAGAGATTATGGCAGTAATGAAAGCACCAGTGGTGTAAACATCCAGCACTGTGAAAACATCCAGCACCTGGAAAGGAATAATGCAGAATTATGCACATGATTAAAGAAGAAAATGCGTATTTCTTACACCTATGTTTGACATTGTGAGCGGGCTTGCAGTTTTTTATAAGATGTCTAAAAAACACAGAAGGAGAAATTAGATACAAAGGGAATTGGTCTCTTAACCTTTTCTGTACTGTTTCTTCTTGATCAGTTACATTTTCACTGCCATGTTGCAGGAAGCATCACTTGCCTTTTGTGAGAAGTGTAGGGATGGTTTGAGTGTATACACTATTCTTGCTGTTCATTACCAGAACACGGTATTTAAGTGCCTACATAACTAAAACAGACTTTAAAATATGCTAAAAAAAATTAAATCAAAGACAGTATTTAAAAATCTTGCATTAGTACAGTAATTTCAAGCTTGAAGTACTGAAAACTTATAAATGTAAGAAAACGTTACAAATGAGAAAAGGCCATTTGGCCCATCTGCAGTACAACGTTTTATAGTTAATAGGTGATCAATCCATGGATCTCATCCAGGCATTTTTCAAAAAAGGTCAGGCTTCAACAAGATGACTGAGTGGTTTGTTCCATTCATCAACAGCGTGGTGTAAGGAATGCCTCTCTTCTGTTCTCAGTTTTAAGTAAACTTCCATATAATTTATACAATGCTGCCTTTAAAGCAAAACTAATGCTGGACAGCCATGACCCCCGAATTTCCTGTAACACGTTCTGTTTTAATTGAAGTTTTGCCCACATTATTGGTAAATAAACTTTTTCTTGTTGTCTCATGCCCCTGTATACTCTCTTGACAGGCTATTTCTATCAAAGCTCTTATGTGAAATATTTATCAGTATGTTTCATTATTTCAGCTGTCCTTTTTATTCTTTTTTTCATAACTTATCCTATGTATTACAGCTGTAAATTTTACCATGTAAGTACAAAGGTTGTACAGCCTTTTTGAAAAGCCCTCATAAAACTTCAGAAAGATTGTGTAAGATAATGTTTGCGATGTTAGAACTTCGTTACATTAGTGTTTTTGTACATTTTTGAATGACTTTTCCTATAGACATGAAATACAATTTAATGAAATAAAAAATTGGCTGAATGACATCCTCTTGGTTGGGCGTAATGTTCAGCACTCAGGCAGTTAAAGTTGTAACTATTGCTAAAACATGAACTAAAAAGACAGATTAGATCATTATTAATGTTTTTCTTTTAATAAAGAATGAGTTCTATGAAGAACTGTTTAAGTTCGGTTGTATATATCTTCTGTTTTTAATATTTGCCATGTATGTTCTCTATTTATTACTTTTAAACCACAGTTTTAACCTCGAACTAAAAAAAACTCATTATATGCTGAGCCTCAAAATAAACTTACCACTTGTAACTGCAACAATGTCTCAAAGTTATCTGAAAAATGAAAGTCGTTTTTGT